TAGGTTGTGTGGGTGTGTGTCCGTACATATAAGGTGGAGAAGAAGGGGGAGAGAGAGACACGGGAGGGAGAGAGTGACAGAGACAAAGACAGAGGGTGAGGGTGAGTGAGACAGTGTGTGTGTGTGTGGCCCAAGTTTTTCCAACACCACACAAACAACCAAACAACAAAACAAAGTAACTAGGGGTAAAATGGTAATTTCACGCGTACGGTTCCGATAACTCCGGGACGGGATGTCACATATTGTATCTAATAATAATTCGTCAACAATTATACTTAACAAAAACAGCAAAATATATATATATATATATATATATATATATAATTTCACAAAAAAATTGAAAAAATTACACGGAGCTTTTATATTGATCACCAACTATTTGAAAAAGAAAAAACACATTTGGAAAAAGAAATAATATGAAATGTTTGCATAAAAAAAAGTGATAAAAAAACATATTTGGAAGAAGAGAAAATATAATTTAATTAATAATATCTCCACTAAATAAGGAAATGTGCATCATGCAGATAAAATGATAAATTTAAAAATTATTTTAATTTTAAAAAATAGAGGTGACTATTGGTTAAATTACTTTAATCAAATTAAAAAAAAACGTTTAAATTAAATGATATAGAAAAATTGTAAATGGGTCTAATTTTTTCAAATGAATACTATTTGATCGTAATAATCGACATCAAGGATCTTAAGAAAAAAGAAGTGTAGGAAGTTTCCTGCAAGTACAAAAAAGCAGCGTGTATTTAATCTGACCGGGAAAGAATGGCGGTATTGGGAAGGACAACTGGAAACCTTTTCTGGATAGTCATGAGACTCAGAGCCGTGCAGACCCCACTGCCACTTTCCTCCCCTATCTCTTTCTCCTAACTTCCCCTTCACTCTCTCCCTTTCACTCTCCATCTCTCTCTCTAAGTAATTTCCCTCTCTCTCTCTCTCTCTCTTCCCATTCAAACGCTTTGAAAAGCAGCAACTTGTCCTTCAAATCCCTCCCTCGCGGCCACCATCATCTTATGCGCATCTCATTCGCATTCCCTTCATTTCTCTTAGCCTTCATTCGCACACTCTGTTTCCCTTTTCTCCTATTCTTTATTATAAAGCTGAGGCGAAACGATAGCAGTTTTATTACAACAAGCTCGACTGAATTGTCCAATCATTCATGGACTCCGTCGGCAGGAAATCAATGAAGCACCAAAACCAGAGGACTGGTTCGCTTCAGCGGCTGAGATGCTCCGTTCAGAACTACGATTGGGGGAAGAGGGGACAAGATTCCCAAGTGGCCAGGCTCTGTGCTTTCAACTCTGGTTCTGGGATCAACCCAGAAAAATCATATGCTGAATTTTGGATGGGAACCCATGAGTCCGGACCTTCTTTTTTGATTCAGAATTCGGATGAGAATAATGGGTTTTTCCCAATTGGGTCTCAGATTATATCTCTCAAAGATTGGATTTCCAAAAACCCAAATGTGCTCGGTGAGAAGGTGATCCAAAAATGGGGCTCTGACCTCCCTTTTTTGTTCAAGGTAACCTATTGTTTTTTTTTTTTTTTTTGGGTTTTTTTGTTGTCAAAAATTTGGGGCTGTGGACTCTGGTATGGAGTTTTCTTTGTTTGGTTTTTGTGTGTTTGTTGTGTGTGTTTTAGGTGCTTTCTGTGGGGAAGGCATTGTCAATACAGGCACACCCAGATAAGGACTTGGCCAAGATTTTGCACAAGTTGATGCCAAATGTTTACAAGGATGCTAATCACAAGCCTGAGATGGCCTTAGCCACCACCCACTTTGAGGCTCTGTGTGGTTTCATCACTCTTCAGGTAAAGATCATTTTCATGTGTTTATTTAAATCTCAGAAACGATAACAATCTTAAAATAATTTTTTACTAGAGAGAGCTGTATATTCCCTTCTTAATATCTCTATCATATGCATAATTTCCCTAAACATTGGGTTGGTTTGAATTGTTTGGTTGCTGAGTCTTTTCACAAAAATCATTAGCACTTTTGAATGTTTACGTGCCTCCTTTTATTGTGTTTATTTTGATATTAAACAAAGGTAAAACCAATGAGTTGTAATCTTGTCTGGGCCCCATTGAATAATCGGCCATTTACCTAGTCAAAATCAGAATCATGAGGACTTAAGGCAGAGAATGATATAATACCAAATGAGTTAAAAAATTACTTTTTCTCGTTCCAACTGTTTAGAAATCAAACCATTTATTTTTTATTTTATTGGTAAAAAAATCAATAAAATTATTTGGACAGGCAGGCACACAGTTTTTTAATATAAGGGGCTCAAATTTATTAAAAAAAAAAAAAAAAAACTGGGTAAACCATATTATATAAATCACATGATGTGTCGGTTGATGGTTGGATATTTTCATTAATAATTTAAACAATGAATTCACCATCAACTACTACATTATGTCGTCTACAAAATATGAATCAAGTAGATTATCTCTCTAGCATCACCCCAAATTTTTATACGTGAACTGCACCTGAATTAACAAAAATGTTGGCAAATCTAATCGGTCATGTTTTTTTTTTTTAAGATCTATTTGTACACACAAAATTTAAATCTCTGTTGATGCCCTCTCCAATACTCTACGATAAATAAATAAAACCCGAAATCATAATGCAATCGATTCCATCACTAGTTGCAGTATTAACTTCTATTTCATTAATTAAACTTAGATTATATTTAATAATTGAGGTCAAGAGCAGGTGTAGTGTTACTTTTCAGTCGTTGAGAATCTCTTGCTAGGATACCTTTTTCTTCCCAATTGTTTTTCTTTTCTCAAGGAATATTGCCTTCTCTATAGGGATCTATGTGGCATTCCAACTAATTTTAATTTTAATTACACGTTTAATTACAATTATAATTTTTCTATCTTATTGACAGGAGCTTAAAGTTGTGCTTGCTAATGTCCCTGAGATCGAAGAACTAATTGGCAGTGAAGAAGCAAAAAAAGTTTCCGGAATCACTGATCAAGACGAGGAGGAGAAAGTAACGTCCGCTCTGCGTTCGGTTTTCACCCACCTCATGTTAGCCAGCAAGGAGAGGATAACCACAGTTATTACTAAAATGAAAGATCGTTTACACATCGAAAGTCAGGTTGGTTGATGTGTTTTTTCTTCAATGTAACTGTCAAATTATGTTTTTTCTTCGCCCGTAGGATGATCTGATTGAAGATCCTGCTATGCTCATTCTGGATTTGTGTAACAGTTTTCGCTATTTTGGCAGGCAAGGCGATTGACAGAGAAGGAACAGCTGGTATTGCAGTTGGTAAAGCAATATCCAACTGATGTGGGTGTTATATCTGCCTTCTTCATGAACCATGTGAAGCTTAATCCCGGAGAAGCGATGTACATCGGGGCTAATGAACCCCACGCCTACATATTTGGTGAGTGCGTTGAGTGCATGGCAACCTCAGACAACGTAGTGAGGGCTGGCCTTACTCCAAAGCATATGGATGTTCAAACCCTTTGTTCTATGCTCACATACAAGCAGGTAAAATACAGCATCCCCGCGGTGGAATTAACACTTTTAACGTCAACTTGTTTGGTGCGGATTTTCCTTGCATTTCGCATGCATGTCTGAAATTTAACGTCTTTGCTTTTGCAGGGGTATCCTGACATTCTGCAAGGAGTTGCAGTAGGTCCTTATGTGACAAGGTATCTCCCGCCCTTCGATGAGTTTGAGGTTGATCGCTGCCAACTTCCGCAGGGAGAATCAGCAGAATTCCCTGCAGCCCCAGGGCCTTCGATTTTTGTGGTCACGTTCGGGGAGGGAATCATATACGCAAGCGATGTTCAAGGGGATGTAATTACAGAAGGAGACGTTCTTTTTGCACCAGCAAACACTCGGATTCGCATAACAGGCGCATCCGAGTTGCAGATATATCGAGCGGGTGTGAGCAGCATGTTCTTCCAAGCCTGATGAACTTCATTACGTAGTTGCACATCTTTGCTTTAGTGCAAAGCACACAAATTATTAATTTTGCATTTTTTGATTTTTTTTACAATAAGCGTATGTAATATTAGCACTGTCATGAGAATGCCTGTGCGAGTGTGCCATGAAACGTACTAAAAATATACGAATAAAAAATATATCAATTTTAGTAGTTTTTATAAATAAGATTAATTTTGTAAACATCGATATATTTATATTATGAGGTGGAAAAATAAATAAGGGTCGAACTCATCATTTATGAGCTTCTAACATGAAACCTTTCACAACCCACTAGTAGTTAGGGATGAATTTCAGGCCTGTATTCCACTTGGCACGCCTTGAGTTCGACTTCTAACGCGGTTGAATCATACGATAGTGGTCAAGAGAGGCTGAAATGCCTTTATCAGTCTTATTCACTTACTAGTGAAGGAAAATAGTAGTAGACCGTATTAGTACTAATTGACGTAAACAAGATGGATTTCGATTGTTGGAGTGAAAAAAAAAAAACAATGAAGTCAATTTTTCTGTATGGGGTGGTTTGATGACTATTAGGCCCGTAATAGTTTACAAACGGGCTAATAAAAGAATAAGTGTACGGCTCAATACTTTGATCTGGTGGGATCATGCTACAGCAGTCCAAAGACTCCCAACCAGGCAGTTCGTATAAAAGTTTTGCTCACTCCCACGTTTTTCTTTTCATGAGTGAACGGTTGAGATTTAGTGTAGAGGAAAATTTCCAATAGGTATAAATAGCCAATCTCAGGAATGATTAAATTCAGGTGTAAATTAAAAGAGAATTTAGGGTTCATTTAGTGCATCGGACTTTTGGTAGAAGTGCTTCTATAACAAACACGTCAACATTTTAAATAAAAATCCGAGTGTTTCATATAAAGCAATGGAAGTGCTTTCCAAAATCTAGCAGGTGCTTTTGCCAAAAAATACTTCTATAAACACTATCTTTTCTTTTTTTTTTTTTTTTTGCTAAACGCAATCGAAGGTGCATTTGATTATCATAAAGTGATTTTAGCCATTTCAAAAACAATATCAAAGTCTAGAAGACTTAGTTAAATAGAAGATTTATTGTATGTAAGAAGAAAACCTTGTAGGGAAAGAATTACTGATGCCAACTGAGATGAGTTAGTGTTAAACATTACAGAAAGACTAAGCAGCCAGATATGCGGTTTAAAGGTGGAGAAACTCTAGTTAAACAGAACCGGTGAATCCCACTCGACGTAATGTCCATGAAGAAAATAAGGAATGCCAAGAGGGAGAGAAAAGAAAGTGCGGAAATCACTTCCATATTTTATCACGTCATTCCCCTGCACTGCATTGAGTTACGTTAGGCTTTAATATTCATTAGTATTTTGGGACATTTGTAACATGGAGTGCCTTAGCAGTGGACTCACTTTGTGCTATGATGTTAAAACGGCCGAAAACGTCTTAGTAATTAGAATTAGGCCCAAAGCATCCCGAAAGAGAGAACTGTAACGAGTACTTGTGATTCCGTTCTCAGTCTTTCTACAGGTTCATATATAAAACTCAAATTTCAGATTTCTTAATTTCGCTGCCACGACAAATGAATTTTCCTTCAAGTTAAAAGGTACGAGTAAGAATTTAGATCTGCACTAGCAAAAATGACACTGAATACAGTTACCTTCGTAATCATCTAAGTTGCTCTCTCTTCAAATCTTCGAGCCATGCTAGGATCGCTTTTGCACCCTTCTCCCATAAACAGTCCAACATCATGTCATGGGCAACCCCTTTAACACAGATAGGAGAGACACCATAAAACCTGCCTATCTCGTTGAGGCCTTCAGCATCCTTGTATAGGGAAAAACAATAGCAGAAACAGAAATAAGCAAGGCAACGTAGTGGAAATTACAGACCGACATGTTTACATCGACAACATTAGAGAAATAATCAAGTAGTATGTATAAGGAGTTTACCACAATGAAATCATCATTTGCACCCAACACGAGGAGTTCAATAGCTGATTTTGGCACTGAAGGAACGGGCAGCGATGCGTTGAGCTTCCGCAGATCAAACAATGGCATTCTTGAACTTTCCTTCATTAGCTCTTGATAGCTGAAAGACAACTAGAACTTAAAAATGTTATCTTCGCAAACGAAGACATTTTGGGAAGGAAACTTGTCTTTTATGAAAAATCCCACAAAACTGCATAGAAGAAGTATCAAGCAATTAACAAAGACAAGGGGAACCAAAAAGAAACAAACAAGACTACGTGGTTCAGTAAACTTGCCCCTACGTCCATGAGATTACGTGGATCGGTAAACTTGATTACAAGATTACGTGATACACCCCTGCCCCCTGAACTATCAAGTTCCTCACTCCATCTAATGTTTTGTGGTTCATTTGTAACTAATTTATCCTATATCCCATAGTATTTGAAAATTCCTCATCCAAACATAGTGCTTAGTAGTTCTACTCCTCTATTAGACAACCACCCTCTCTTGGTGTGGACGTTTCTTTGACACAGACACTCTTGCCGCCTTTAGTGCCTTTATTGCGCCCATTTTTTAACATACACTTCTTAAGTTTACTGTTCTGATGAGGCTCAGTGTCCAGATATACAGTTTACGGGAACTTCAAGCAGAAATATAATTAAGCCGTAGTACCAGGGCAAATTGACTGAATGTGTATGAAATTACTCCATTTCCCGTGCACAAACTAATGATTAAACTTAATACTAGATATATATTGTTGAACGTCATCTGTCATTTTATGAGATGTCTAAATGACTTGAAAAGAATTGCTGGTTAACAAACCGTAAAACGAGGTGATCCTCCATTGTTGCGGAAAAAAATGTCTCCTTACAAAGAGAAAGAGATGTTTGAAACCCATTAGCTGCCAAGCTGCGTGTAACCTACTCAAAAGTTCAAACAAATAATGCCTCAATAATAAGTAAAATTAACCTCTATGTCTACTGTTTACACATGAGAAAGCTGAAAATATTGCGGAAAAGGGTATCACATTTTCTATTTAGATATCCATGAAAACAGTAGTGAACAGCCTTCAAAAGAATGTAAGGGATGATAGGATCAGACCAAGTACGAGTATAAATGAAAAGATGCAACCTCAGAGATATTTAGTTAAAAATGGAACCAAAGTTATGAAGGAAGATATAATTTAGGCGTAAAAAATCTATTAACTAATGTTTTGTGTAGAAATTTTCCAGTATGAATACGGTATAAAAGAGAAAGATCAAAACCTTATAAGCAGCAATAGGTTTGGTGAAGAGATAACGCCACACTAAGCCACTGGAGAAAATCAGAAATGTCAGTCTGGACTAATTACATTCAAATTGAAAGAAAGAAGGGAACAAATAATCAGACAAAGGAAAGTAGGTTAGTTACCTATTACCCGAAGGAGGAACGGAGCAGACAAGCACAGCACCGGTAAGCTTAGGGAACAAATCTCTCTTGTCTAGAATAAGCCAAACAGCACAGAAAAATTATATAAGAAATTACCTTGCAAGTAAGAAAAATACTACATAAGATGAAATTCAATGTGCTTATAAGCTATACCACAGCCCAAGTCAGGAAGGAAACTTGATACCGCATTCAGTTAAAGTTTGAGCATCTAATATCAAAGTGTGCATTATGGTATTAGGCACAGTTAAACTTATCATGATAGAACCCAAAATTACTTGCCTATGATATAATCCCAAAAAAATTGTGAAAATTATTCAGAATAAACAAAATAATGAGTTACATTGATTATCGCTGTGTTTAAATAATTTGTAAGTTTTCAATGTTTATTGAGGGCTTTTTCTCCCCTCCTGCAATACATGATTTAGCCAAACTGCATTAAACGTTATGGCTCATGTCTCATCAGTCTGGAGATTTTATTCTACGTAGTTAAAAGTAGAAGTTACCGGAAATCTGGTCAGTTTTAGCGTTTGCAATATAGTATTGAATAATGAGCCCTCCAAAAGAGTGTCCAATCAATACTGGTGGAAGCGTGAGTTCCTTGCAGATGAAATCAGCAACATCACTTGCATGCGTCTACTGCAGAATATGCAGTGAACAGGAATAAGAACAGCAATTTAAGTATGGAAACTATAAGACGCAGGACATGCACATACTAGTGAATTCCTAGTAAAAGAAGTCTTTTTCCTAGCGGAAAACTACTATACCTGGAGAGTACCAGAAACAGAAGCGCTGGGTGCATCACTTTCACCCTGATAAATCAAAGGAGTACTACAAATCAGAACCAGACATGTATAGAAAGTTAGAAACAATACAACGAAGCCAACTCAACATATCATCCAGATACATGCTATTATGTGAATGGTAAAACAACAACCAAGCCTTATCCCACTAAGTGGGGTCGGCTGTATGAATCCTAGAAAGCCATTGCGCTCGGTTTTGAGCCAAGTCAATGGTATAGATTAAGAATTCAAAAATCAGGATGAAGAAAATAAGAATTTATCTTAGTAATAATTGGGTGTTTGATGGGCATGTTTTGCAGCTTGAAGATCTGTAATTTCGTGAATATAATTATCATACTCCTTTTTTTTTCTTAGCCGTTAGATTAAACAAATCAAAATAAAAAGAAAGAAAAGATAGTGCAAAATTTATTTTCCTTAATTACTAAAAAGGTTTAGGACTAAGAATCCTATGTTTGTTAGACCAGTGATTTGGTAAAAACTCTTCAACGAGTGAGACTTTGTCGTACTGGTCCTGTATAAAGTTAGGTCTGTTTTCTCACAACAATAAACTTTTAAAGTAATCCAGGTTTGCAGAGAGTAGTAAGCTTTGATTTTGATTCGCTATCTCATGACACTAGGTATTTGTTCTCTTTCATATACTTGATTAAAAGGTTGTATTTTTGTTTTTTTTCTTTTGTGTTATGAAACGAATATCATATTAATTTACATAAGGTTTACATGTTCTATCAAAGCCATCGCACTCAATTTGAGATCCAGAAATAAAATTTTAAGAAATAAGTTCATATTTTTGTTTAGCAGAAGCCAATTAGGGTTTTGTTTTTTGCGCCTATAAGTTAATGGGAAGTGATTTCTGCGCACTCTTTTGTTTGGTTACACACCTTCGTTTGTATAAACCCTAACCCCAAAGCTCACAACGTGTACAGTCTTCTTGTACCTTTTCAAAACGTGTACAGTTACGTTTTCTGATTGATTTTTGGGTTAGGGTACAACACTTTTAAGAATATTATGTATATGTTTCTTCTTCTTTTTCTTGTAATGCATGTTATTCACATGGTCTTAATATGTATTGATTTTGTTTTTCCAGTTTCTGCTATGGATTTTTCTTCCGTTGAGACTTTGATTAGGAACAATTTTGCAAAGTGGAGGCTGGACATAGAATTTGCTCTTGGAATCAGGGATCTCAACTTAGCACTAAGGGAAGATGAACCTCCTAAGCCGACTGAGGATAGCTCTGATGAACAAAGAGAAAAGTAAGAAAAATGGGAAAGATCTAATCGCTTGTCTATATTGATTATGAAGAGATTCATGTCTGAGACTGTTCCTGGAGGAATTCCTAGTTGTGACAATGCAAAACACTTCTTAGATACTGTGGAACAAAACGTCAGAGAGTCTGAAAAGGCTGAAACCAGAAACTTAATGAGTTCTTTAACAACTATGAGGTATGATGGCAACGGCAATGTTCGCGAGCACATCTTGAAGATGATAGGTATGGCCAATAAGTTGAAAGATTTGGATATTCATAACCCGGATCCCTTTTTAGTTCATATCACTCTTAACTCTCTTCCGCTACAGTTTGGACAACTTAAGACCGCTTACAGTGCTCAAAAACAAAAGTGGGAGTTGGATGATTTGATATATATGTGTGTTTTGGAGGTGGAAAGACTTTGTCATGAGAAGAGAGAGGGGGAAAATCTTGTGTTCAATAGGTAAGGTAATCAATCCTTAAGATCAAGTTCAAGTGCTTTTCTGCAAAAGTGAAGACCAAAGGAAGAGGTATTGTCACTAGTATAAAAACTTGGCTCAACAATAGAAAAGGAATTGACAAGTTATATATACATATATATACATGATGACATGAAAGTTTGAAGTTTGAATTTTGGGTTAAGTGTGTTTTGTTTTCTTATTTTTGCTAGAAATATTTGATTAGTTTTTGTTTTTCGTTTCCAAACTTTACGTGTTTTTTTTTTTTTTTGAAGTAAATGATACTATCTACACTACAAGGGAGGGGATTGGCTTAGCCTCACAATGAGCTAGCAATAATATGGTTTAAATTCGCTTTTGGCGAGATTCGAACCTAAGACCTCTCACTTACAAGTGAAGAAGAATACCACTAGACCGTAGTACTAAGTGGCCCAAACATTACGTGTTTACTCATTGCTTTTTCCTCAACTTTTGGAATTAAAACTAGACTCAAAACTACCACAGGCTGATGCTAGTAGTGTCGATAAAGAACATTTTTTTACCAAACCCCTAACAAAAGTTAGGGCTGTAAACCCACAAATCATAATTCACCAAAAGAAAGAAACTCTATCCCTTTATTGTGGTAAGTGTTCCTATAAAATACCTGTCATCTATAATCCAAAATTCAATACCACAACAAAAATGTCAGCATATACGAATCCATGGAATCCAATTCTTACACACTACTTTGATCAAATAAACATTCAAGTTATGGAATTGACAACAACAAATGAGACATAAAATCAGATAGGAAAAAAAATGGCAATTAATCAACAGAGCGGAGCATAAAAATGGAAGGAACTGACCTGACCCAACAAGCTAACTGCATAGCAATCATACCCAGAAGCCGAAAAGAAAGGAAGCCAGTGCTCAGCCCAGCACCAAGCAGCATGGTAGCTTCCATGGACGAAAACAAGAGGTGGGTTTTCACTTGGTCTCTGTTTTTCCTCGCCTGATTGTTTTTCTTCAACTTTTTTGTGCACGATTACCTCCATGTTCAGGCCGGAGGGGAGCCGGTGGAAAAGACGAGATTGTTTCTGTTTGAGCTGGTAAGGGACTCGCATGCTGTGAGCTTCATGGAGGGCGGCCCTGGGCTTTATGGTAACCCTCCCAGAAGAGAGGTTGGGATGAAGTTGAAAGATGGTGCGGAGGGAGAGGACGGCAGCCATTCACGTGAAACTGATCTCGCCCCTTCCCCTTCGAGAGACTTACCTTTCATCAGGGACGAGACAGCAGCCATATCCCAAACTAATAATGAACCGCCAGAGAGAAATTAAGCATATTTTTTATTTATTTAAGGAACTAGTTTGTGGTTTTTAAATTCACATAGGTATTTTAGCATTTTTTAAGTATTATCATGTGATTCATCAACGCTAACAATCAAACTCAGGACGTATGATTGAGCAGCTTGCCCCTAGCCACAAGCCCCCTTAGTCATCATCGTGACTCACAAAGGCATTCAGCCTCCCCTAACTATTATCGTGTGATTCACCATTTAGTATGCAACTCAATGACTCATGGCTGGCTAAGAGCATCCCCAATGGGGGCTTTACCCTCCTTGAGGTTACCACATTTATAGCTCTAATGAAAAATTGCATCCCCAATAGCCCGGAAAATGGGGCTACATCCACCACAAGGGCTAGCAACTTCAGTCATAAGGTAGCAAGAAGTTAGACTACATCTAACCCCAAAAAGTAGTGGCACCACACCAAATTGGGTGCCCAATCTTGGTTTTTGTTTTTGTTTTTTTAGTTTAGAAATGGGTGGGCCCCATTTTTAATTTCAAAACATGATTTTAAGGGTTTATTTTTCAACCGTTTAGGATTTTAAGAGTTTATTTCAACTGTTTGTTTGATTAAGAAAACATATACAAACAGACTATTTTTTGTGTTAATGATTAGAAAAAAATGTTGTGCTTCATATTTAATTTTCTAGAATGAAAAATTCATTAAAAAAAATGATGAAATTTAACATTGGTAGTTTAGAGACCTAAACCGGAAATATAAACAAATAACAAAACTAAATTATGATAAGATAATCCAATCCAATGATTGTTATGAAATGAAAATCTTGTTTGATTTCGGAGAATGTGTCAATCAAAGAAATAAACCAATGGTTGTTATGAAATGAAATCTTATCTTGTTTGATTTCATAGAAACAAACCAACAAATGAGATTGAGATAAGATAATCAAAACCAATGATTATTATGAAACGAAATCTTATCTTGGCTGATTTTATAAAAACAAACCAACGGATGAGATTGAGATAAGAGAATCTACAATGGTGCATAAGTGATGAAATATAACTTTGTCAGAATTTGAATATTTTTAGGTTAAAAAGTTCATAAATTAAAATTTAAGATAACACTTCTAAAAATCAAGTTTAAGATAACATGTCTATGAAAATCTTGTTTGATTTCGGAGAATGTGTCAATCAGAGAAATAAACCAATGGTTGTTATGAAATGAAATCTTATCTTGTTTGATTTCATAGAAACAAACCAACAAATGAAATTGAGATAAGATAATCAAAACCAATGATTATTATGAAACGAAATCTTATCTTGCCTGATTTTATAAAAACAAACCAAAGGATGAGATTGAGATAAGAGAATCTACAATCGTGCATAAGTGATGAAATATAACTTTGTCAAACTTTGAATATTTTTAGGTTAAAAAGTTCTTAAATTAAAATTTAAGATAATACGACTAAAAATCAAGTTTAGAGAAGTTAAGACAATAATAAATTTACCGCGTAATCAAATTACTGCATAATAAAATATATAGCCCCATATAAAGCCCAAAAAATATATATCCCCTTATTGGGAGAGATTTCTTTTTAGACCCCCAAAGATTCTTCGAAACTCTAAATTAGGCTATATTCACCACTTTTCTAATCTCATATACAGCCCCTCATTAAGGATGCTCTAAGACTGCAGCCCGCTTGTACTGCATTTGTTTTTACCTTTCTGAGTGGACCAAACAAAGGAAGAAAAATGACAGTTCATATATTGAACAGGTCCTTCGTTCCTCAAAGCTACCATAAAATACAAAACATATTGAACAGGTTCTGATAAAATGAAATTCCAGTTTTAATTAAATCAACCAGCAATTTAACTAACTATAATCTTATTGGGGGGGGGGGGGGGTGTGGGGTGTGGCTTCAATGCTACATAACTTCTGGAAAAAAAAGTGAGAATTTCATTCACCAAGCAAGAGGAAAGCAAATTACAAAAGCTCCAGCCTCTCCTATGAAAATGGAGGAATAGAGTTTGCAACCTAAAATTTATTCGAATTGTGTGCCATAAATAATACAATAATCCAATGTTATTCACCAAAGAGTCTGCATATTCACAATAGACACATCCAGTGCTCCTTTTTCTTCCCCCCTTACCCCTTTTCTGAAACACACGTCAAGAACATGAATGCGGGTGCTCACAAATGCGCAGGGAGAAGTTAGCTGCGTGTTAATTTTTCACTGTGCTCATTAAGCCATGAAATGATGTCGCTAAAAACTCGATTTATCATTTCATCTGACTCACCCTCCAGAAGGGAATGACATGCATCCATGTAAAGGATGAGCTTCTTGTCGGAACTGCTTGCTTTCTCATACAGGGCCTTACTTACAGATGGATCAGTTACAATATCAGCCTCTCCATGCAGGATTAATAATGGAAGAGAGACCTGTTATGAGATTTAATATAAGTGACCCAATAAAGTTAGAATTCTATATGCTACTGCTGCTAAATTATACTGAAATCAACTGAACTTTTCGGGTAAAACATATTATCTGAAATTTCAAATAAATTTGTGTATTTGTTGAAAAGACAGAGTCAACTAACACCGTTGTCCAGTCCCCAGCACCGTCCCAAAAGGATAAGAAACTACCAACTTTCGGACAGTTTTGTGTTTAACTAACATATATTGAATCTACTGGAAATTTCATAAAGATGTATAGGGCTTTGTTGACAGAAAGATACTAGCATAGGTTTACTGGCTGTGAAGGTCCTAACTCCTAAGTAGTACATCTTGGTTCTAGAGTTAAATAGGGGTCTACAAGCAGGACTCGGGTCGGTTCTGAGTGCAATACCAACGATTTTCATTGGTCTAAAAGAAATGAAGCCCAACCGGAACATCACTAAGCAAAAGCTGAACCAAATAGGGTCATGTCAAGCTGGATACAGAAGAATGGTTTCTAAGAAAAAAAATCACCAATGGTCCATGGAAATGTGGTGTATTTGTCTTGTGCTACTTCATATCACAAATCACGATATACAAGAGCTGTAGGTTATATATGAAAATATTAAAGTCGTTTTTTATTTCTTCTTTGAATTTGTAATCCAGTCAAACTGTACTGAGTTAAAGTTACTTCAAATTCAGATCCAACCAAACATCCGTGGATTAAGCGTAATAAGAATTACCACCTAGTTATGTAGACGCCTGAACTGTAAACGGCCTCAAACAACAAAGAAGAGATTAGGAATATGCAGCAATAGGCGTCATTTATTAAGGGAAAAGGTTCACACTGAACAGACTGGATAGAACTTGATGCTCTCAAAGAATATTAAAATGGTGATTCCGTTGATTTAGAAATTAACTGTAATAAAAGAGGAGTCATGGATTAGCATACTTCTTCCAATCGGCGTTCTATCTCTTCGGTAGTTCGGAGCATTTCTACAGCAGTCTGCAGGCGTGGTTTATCCTTGTAGGCAATAACATTATAGGCTGTCTGCATTCAGGATAATGAACAACTTGTCAGCCACAGTTTACCACCCATCTATGAACATCAGATGATTCAGACCTTCCATATTTTTAATTTTTTAGTGCTTGAAATTATTCATCAAAGAAAAGACTAACCATTTCTCTTTTCTTCAAGTCTTTAAATGCTGCCTCAGCCAGATTCTTTTGCGGAACCAATTTTTGCTTTGGAAGGAACTTAGCCACACCAATCAGGATTTGTGTTAGTATCCATGGTGGAACCATGTCCTCTGAAATCTACAAAAGCAAAAAACAAAATGGAGAATGTACACCATTTAAGTAAAAGAAGGTGAAAACCAAAGAAAAACATTGCTCCTAATGCTAACACAATTAAGTTATGGAATTTACCTTGCACATCGGTGCAACTAGTATTGCGCCATTCCATGCACTAGGTTGTTTTAGGTGAGCCTTCAGTGCTACAGCTCCACCCAAGGACTGTCCAAAGAGAAAGATCGGGAGTGCACGTAACTCAGGCTGCTCTGCGGTCCAAACCAAAGTATGTATATATTAACAATTGAAATGAAGATGCCGTTTTGTATATTTCTTGTTTGAATAGACAGACCAGACATTATATACAGCATAATAAATTGTGTACAGATCCTTTAGTCTCTATGACTTGATTGTTGGATGGGAAATAAAGCAAAGGATTTATCACCAGCCAAGGAGTTCAATTCCCTATTTCAGATGCAAAGTACAAAAGAATAAGTAGCTGAGAAGAGTTACAGTAATTCAGAAGAAATTTTTTCCCTGAATTCGTTTCTTTTCACTTCACTGCTATTCTTGTGGGCTGAATGAGGGCATGAGAGAGCAAATTGATTTTTCGTATCACTTTTCAAAAGGAAATGTTATGTTAACTTGACATAAAATTTGCACTCATTGTATTTGTTATCAACCATTAAAAGTCAAATAAAGTAGTTGAGAAATTTTCACTTGCTGCAACCCTCTCTACTCCCAACATCTCTGCAAAAGGGAGCATTTTTTATTATAGATGCTCTCCTATCAAATTCTCTGCAACTGTGCCATTTTATACTAGTAAATGATCACAATACTACCCCGAATATTGGTCAAGGCAGCGTGGTAAGGTTGACAAGATACGTACAGGCTACAAATACCAAGTACCAAGGGATTTATGATAGATTAGAAAGAAATGCACTATGAAATATTAGATAGATTGAAATGCTAGACGCAATGCATGAGGCATTTATAATTGACTACTTGAAACGAGTCGTTTCAAAATCCTTTGTGTAGTGGCTTTGTAATGCCCATGTACTGCAGTTTCAATCCCTCTATCTAATGCTTTCTAGTGCATTTCTTACTAATGTATCCCAATCCCTTAGTACTTGGAAATCTCTCGCCCAAACACACCATTAGAGTTCATCTGACACTCGGACTTTCAGGTTCATACTTCTCAGTTCCAAACGCAGTGCAGGTTTGAAGGACCAAAATGGTACGACAATTTCTCACATTAGAAAGTTCAAACAAGAAAGTTAATAACTTATTCAGCACACCTTTGACATTCAAGAAATGCTCAGTGACATCATCTACAAGTCTGTCAAAGCTGGGAATATGGCCATGTAGACCTTCTGAGAGACCAAAGCCAGGGTAATCCATTGCAAAAACTCCGTAACCATTTGATGCCAACTTCCTCGCAATTCCTGCAGATATCATGAAATGACTATGTTCCACAAAGAAGCATGTTAAACACAGAAATTTGGTCAGCAAATACTCTTATCACAGGTTACATGCCTTCAAAGAAAAAAGTGCAAGTATCCCCATAGCCATGACAGTAACACACTACTGCTTTGGGACGAGATGTCGCTGGAAGCCAACTCTTGCAGAATATCTTCAATCCCCTGGAGTTCACCTCATATGACTACACAATAGAATATGATGTGATCATCTTCATAAGAAAAGTAGAGAGTAGAAACTTCGGAAATCTAAAGAGGGAGGGCCAATGCGTTTGAATAACGTATCCTAGCATGATACACGATCGCTTAAACTTAATTATAGGTAAGCACGGAAACTTGAAATGACATATGAACGAATGAAATAAAAATGCAAGTTGATTACTATCATAAAAGAGTTATTACCTCCTCCATTTTCAATCCATCAGTCGGTGTCTGCAAATTAACCAAAAAGTAAGAAAATAAACATCACTAAGAAAATCTTCCAAGCATGCATTACAAAATGTTTGCAATGTCACCCTAACAATTACATAACATCCTGAACTCGAAATACCATTTAAAAAACATGACCAAAAAAACCAAAGCAAAATAGTATAAATAGCAAGTTTCAGTATCGGTTCGCGCTGCAGTGTGTACGGCAAGACTGAACTAAAAATCAAACTCAGGGACAAATTTTTTAAGCAGCAGTAATTATGTCAATGTAAAGAAAACAAATTTACGTTGAAAAATAGTTCACCCATTCCTCCCAACCACTTATTGTCATCAACCCATTTAAAAGTTTCAGCGTAAATCATCATCAACCCACCACAAAACCCAATTACACTCTCTCAAATCACAACTTGTACGAATTTTTTGAGCCATATTCTAAACTAATCTAAACTACGCGGGATTCGACGTTGTGTGCAGGGCAATCACGCTGCACTAGCCAACTTGGCTACGCTCATGTCTGTACAACTGAATCTAACTAAACAGCCCCACAAAAAATAATAAAATAAAAAGTCCAGTTTATCAATACCATAAATAAACAGACAAAGAAAAACAGCCGAATGGATTAAAGAAACAAAATACCTTGAATAGAATGTGGTCAATCCCAAGCTGAATTTTCTTGAAGGCCTCACGAGCCCGCCTTCTGGCGGGAGCTTCATCCATGTTTGCATCCAGAAGCTTCTGCAGTTTCTCGTCGACGCCTGGCAGCTGCCTCTTCTTGGGCGCCATTGCTGCTGCCTCCGTGCTCTTCCTCCTCTTTGTAACTCGGAAACAAAAGCTGACCGCCCTCGGCTCTGAAACGTTTCGAACGTTTCTTGTAAGAGTTGGAAACGTGAGCAACCAAATGAGATATGAATTGGAGCAGGAATGAAGGAATCTCAATTGTTCCGGAAAGGGAGAAAAGGGTGGCGACCGTATGGCTAGCGGAGTTTCAACGCCATCTGGGATTCTGTCCAAAATTAATGATTAATAATTAGTACAAGTAAATGAAGGGCCCGGAAAGGAGGAAGCAAATAGGAATATTGACCATGGAAAATTAAAATAATTAAAAATAAACGTAACTTATTACTAGTACTACAGTCTAATGATATTCTTTTTCATTTTTAAATGAGAGGTCTTAGCGATTCTCATCAATGAAGAATTTGAACTACATTATTTTTAGTTCATTATGATAGTATAAATAATAGCGTTTGTTCCAGGAAAAAAAAAAGATTAGAGATTAAAGAGGCTTTCTTAAACTGAGACTCGATGTGGACTCTCTATTACCTTATAGTTTAAAATCAACTTTCGTGTCACTATAGTAAAACATTGTGGCAAAAACATGAGCTAACGAGGAGTCCATAAAATGTCCCACTTTTGAGAGAATCCGTCGACATTACTCTTAAAAGTAATATACACTTACTATATTTTTCAACCGTATTTGTATCAGCTTGTTAATAAAGATAGAGTTCATCAACACATATGGATCTCAAAATGATATAAAAGTAGTATGAAAAATGTGATAAGAGTAGCATATTTTTGTTTATTAATTAATTTAAAGAACAAATGTTGAATGCAATGTTGGAGACGTGATCTAATTAGAGAGAAACGTTTTAATGGATTCGAAACACAATTTGATACACCATGCATTAACACTTGGGTTAAAAAGCTTATCGATATTTCTCTTCACATATAAGTAAAATGTCTTAGGTTCAATTTTCGTCAAAGATGAGCTTGAATCATATTATTACTAGTCCATTGTGAAGTTAAACCTACCTCTTCTCTCTTAATGTAAATAATATCGGTTATTAAAAAAATAAAAAAATAAAACTTATCACAATTATATTATGACACGCAATAAAAAGAAAAAGGAAATTGGTCGATTTATTGGTGAGAAGGTTTTGGCACGCACGCAACTTTGGGTTGAAAGTTCAAGTGTTGAACGACAACGATCTGATACATTCACCGTTTCCAATTACTGGAGTTTCATTTTGCAAATCCTTATAAGTCAAAGAGATCGCTTTAGTTTATTGCTTTTAAGTTCGTCATCATGGGTCAAGTACAAAACTAACGACCAACCGGTTTAGTATGGAACGAGAATTGTTATATTACATATTTTAATACAAGTGGACATAAGTTTTTTCAAGTAACAATCAACTTGTATCATGTGGTATGCTGGCTCGTATTTTGAGTATATTTTTTTTTTTTGTGTAGAAAAGCAATTTGCATGAAAGTAATAAATCATCATTATAACGTTTGTAATAATAATACAATATTATGTGTACCAAATTTTATATGTCATTGTACTGTATGTGATATGCCATCATTACTTCCAACTAAATTTTCACCATTAACTTAAAATTGCATACAAATGCTTACATCAAACTTTGTTCTCTACGTCACTTAGTACTATGATCTAGTGATATTTCTCTTCTTTTTTAAGTGAGAGGTCTTATATTCGATTCGCGTCAAATGGGAATTTAAACCATATTATTGCTAGTTTATTATGAGGTTTAACATTGTTTGTTAAAAAAAAAAAAAAAAGGTTTTTGTCATCTCAACCTTGAAATATAGTCTCTTGGTACTATGGTCTAATTATATTCTTCTTCATGGGTAAGTGAGAGGTCTTAGATTTTAATTATTGCTAAAGCCGAATTTGAACTACATTTTTACTACATCATTATGAAGCTTAATCACTCCCTCACCGTCTTAACGTAGATATTAACGAGACTTTATTTGTCTGACAAGGTGAAGGAGGTTATTGAGATTGAGAAAATAACGGTTGAGACTGCTCAATCTTCCGACTATTCTACCACCGCGCACGAGTAATAATCTATTTAGGGCAAAAATAAATTGTGCTTTTCTTTGTAAACAAAAATAAATGGTCGTTGCATCGGGAAAAGAAAACAAATGCACGCGGATTCGCAGCTGTGATCGGGTAGACAATTTAAAGATAAAAGAGAAACAAATTCACGCGGATTCAGATAAAACAAAGTTCAGAAACAAATCACGTGGATGAAATGATGTCGTATCACCTTCGCCACCACTATTACTTCACCACTATAAAATGAATCCAATATGCCCTCACTACCCACCCTCCTTCCTTCCGCCACTGCACCTCCCTCCCTCGCCTTCTTCCTCCGGAGGATTCCCGCCAGGTATCTCTCTCTCTCTCTCGCCTTCTTCCTTCCTTCCTAGTGTTTGTTTCAGATCTGGAGCTTTGAATTTTTAGCGGTTATTATTTCCCTAATTTTAGTCAATAACCCACAAACTGATCCGACCCAAATGTTGGTTGGAATTTTGTTTTGGTTTTGTTTTTTTTTTTTTTTTCTGAATTATATCTTTTGCAATTTATGGAAGACTGAAGAATTATGTGGTCGAATATTGTTTTGTAAAATCGGGTTGAGCTGTATTTACTATTCTCAAAATCAATTTTATACCCCTGATTCTGATGCGATTTTGGGCGACTTCCGACGAAATCGAAGCCGTCTCAGCTTGGGTTTTTTTTATGCGAACAATTACGGCCTTTTGGGGTGTTTTGTTCTCGAATTGGTGTATGTAACGGAGGCAATCTCCGTTTTCGCAGAGGTGTGATATATTAGATGTGAAATTTTCTTTCTTCCTGTTTGGTTGCCTAGAAAGTCCAAGAAAGTAGAGAATGATCAATCAAACAATTTAGAGGGGGGATAAAAGTTTCTGGGATTGATTTTGTTCTGTGTTTGTTTCTGATTTAGTAAACTTAATCAAATTATTAGCTCGTTTCTACAGAACATATGTGTGCGTGTGACTTTGATTAATAATTTGGGTAACTTTTGTTTTCCAATTAAATTGAGGTTCAGTGTGTAAGATGAACAATTTTAAGGTTTTCGTTGGATCTGGAAGATTGATGGGAAAGTTTATCTGATTCGTGTTTTTCTTTGGTGGTGCTGTGTTGTTATGGACAGGCGTTCTTTTGTGGAACAGGAACGGTTTCGAAAATGAACCATTTCAATGTTCAGCAGCAGAACGCCTCTTTCGTGGGCTGTGAAGGCATCAGAGGTTCTGACTTGATGTTTGACACCAAGGAGCCTCTGGTTTGTCCCAAGCCCAGGCGAGTCGGGATTTTGTCTAACAACCCCATTAGGCCCGTGAGATGGCAGATGAGGTACTTTTACTTCTCCAATGTTGTCCCTTCCACCTTATGTTGGTTATTATGCTTTATTTATAGGTGATAACATGTATTTTCTCGTCTTTGCAAATTAGCAGTCATCAACCCGAGTTATGCGACTCAAAAGCTGGGGCAGAGCTTCTGGACCTTATTCTTAGGAAGGTAAAGTTGTTAATTCTTTTGTTTATAATTAATTTGGTTTCTATATAAATGATGATCTGGATTCATTTAAGTGATGTTTTTGGTTTTTTCCAAATGACTGCAACCATGGTGATGTTATTGCTTTGTACTCGATGTTATGATATTATGATTGACTGACATGTTGGTATCTACAGGAGGGTTATGGGTTGGAGCAATCATCCAATGAGGTTGCCTTATCGCCCCCATATTTTTGCGTTTCTCCTCCCAGTAGGGCTGCTAACCCATTAATTCAAGATGCTCGATTTGGAGATGAGAAGACCACTCCTGTTTCGGCATTGCCTGTTCCATCTCCATCAACTTTATCGTCGCCACGCAAAGCAGGTTGTGTGAGAATGAAGTATGGGCTTAAACCTGCTGCAGTTAGAGTAGAGGGATTTGATTGTCTCAATAGGGATCGCCAAAACTCCCGCATCCCAGCATTCGCCTAAACTTCATCAAAGTAAGTGTACATATAAGAAGGAAAGCTAAAGCCACCATAGCTCACAAGTACAGCGGACTTAGCAAGAAGAGCGAATTTTGACGATTTTTTGGAAGATGTACTAGTACTGTATATAGCGTTTGTTGTCGTCGGTGATATCTAAGTTGCTAATATCTACAAGTAGCGTGATGGAACATCACGAAAGAATGTCAAACTGTCAAGCCTTGTGTTCGGAGAAAGTGTTTGTACATGTTTAAAGCCTTTTGCTCTGTTGTAATATTAAGATGGGTCTTGATTTTTCTGGTAATCACCAGGAAGAGTCTGTATAAAAACTTATCGGTGGTATGGATTGGTGTATTCATCTGTAAATGTGTTTTGGTCATATTTTTGGAGATAAATGGGTTCTGGTTATTTGTCAGTTACGCTCTGTCTTGGTCTTGCCCTTATACCGATCCTCTTATTTTTATTTTTCGAACTGAGATATCTATGAATTGGAATCCTAATGCATATAGATACAAATGGTCCAATCGGAGCAAGAATTTACAAGAATATTTCATTTCTGAGCAGAAAATTCGTTTTTAAGTGTTCGATCCAATTCCCATAGAACCTACCACTAAAATACTCCTAGAGAGGAATAGGGCTAAGCGGAGTGAAAAGGGTTTTTTATGAGATGAGAAATGAAAACATAAGTATGTATCTCCCAAAAATGTACACATCTATATAATAGGATCTTTTTTTTTATTGTATTCGGCTCAATCCTTTTAGTAAGAGATTGGGCGGAGTTTAATTTCAATTCAATTAACACAAGAAATTAATAGGTAGGTTAGACATTTGTCACACCAATGTAGTGTAAGCTAAAAGCTATATGATACTTCAAATTTTTTTAATGCAATGATATATTTACATTATAAAACGAAGGAATAAATTAGTTGTGAACTCGCTGATAGACACGTAACAATGACATTTGTTACCCTAGTATTTATATTTGCTAGTGGTTCATTCAAATTATTTGGAGCTAAATTTACCATACTTTTGTAATTTACAAGTATTAAGATGCGTGTTGGTAAAAAGTTGAATTTGACAAGGTCTTATTCATTATGTTCTAGTCTTCCTAATTCAAGTTGGCTTTATCCATTTAATTAATTATTATTTTATTTTTGGGTTGAAGGCCAATTGGTGTGATTTGTATTTATTTGGACCAACAGCTGGTGCGCTTATGTGAGTTGTTTTCAACTTACAAAGAAGGGCTTTCAACTTCACACAAAGATAAACTACGAATTACATTTTCCAGCTCGATTCCAAGCGGTGGGAATTCTTTTTATTAGAATCATCATGACTCTTAGCTAAAACTAGGGTCACTGGTGAGCTAGCATGGGATCATTCATTGCTTTTGATTTCAACAATTTTAAAAAACTTCGTGTATAGTTGTTTTTGTATTGTATTGAATCCTATAAATAAATAAGCAAATTAAACTACAACCTTCTCCTCTTACTGCTATAATATTTGTCTTTATATTTCTCTCTTTTTGTATGCTTGATGAAATACCTTAGTTGACAAGCATTGTCAGTCTTTAACATTATTACACAGGATGCATGCATCGACAAGCCTTTACAAATAATAGTAGTCGTCGACAATATTGGCACAATATTTCGGCATATGTTGGTAGGAATTGGCAAAGTACCTACTAGGAGCTCTACGAAATGGCCCAATGAAGCATTTTAAGTTGATATTATGACCCATATTTGAAACTTCTGGCTTTGCCACTAAGACATAATATTAATTATGTCCACTCTAGTTTTGTAATTGTTTGAATTTCAGATTGATAATTAAGTTTCATTTATTGAGTTTTTTGGAATTTAATATTTTGTTCTTTGTGCTTGATCATAGCCTAGGATTTGAGTATTGAAGTTATTTGCATATGAATTTATATCTGATCCTAAATAGATTCAATACATGCTTTGTGTATGAAAATTATGAACTTATATTTTGATTTGACGGTAGACAAATATTAGTTTGTGTGGCTTCCTTGAACATGACATGACCAAGTTGATAAGTATTTAATTTGTTTTTCACTATGAGTAATTGAATTTTTGCTTGTTTGTGTATGTTGGACTATGGATGTATAGATGGTGGGAATAATTGAATTTAAGCCTGATTCCAATAACATTTACATCTCTTTGGGAAATTATTAGCATGTGTACTTAACCCCGGACCCATGCACGACAGTTCTTTTTGTTAATCGCATGGAAGTTTTTGTTAATATGATAATTCATGAGCTGACAATTGGATACTAGGTTATGACAACTAGTAGTGGAACCCACTTAGTGCTTTTTTTTCTTTGGTTTCAATCATACTTTTGTTTAATCATTATTTAATTTTTATTCTTCTTCGAAACAAATGCAATCTTTATTTCATTTAGTTAATTAATAGTGATAGGATTCAATTGTTAATCTATTATAACTAATTCGTGTAGTTGCGAGAGAATTAGTTTGAATTAATATATTATTTAAATTAGTTTAAATACACATTACTCGCTAATACTGTCATCTCTCATTTACAAGTGAAGGATACCATAAGGCCATTATGAAATGGCTTTTCGATACTTAAAGTTAGACTTAAAGATGAATGAAAAATCAAGAGTTTAGTGTTTCTTAGGGGAGGAACGGTTACCTCTCTTGGTTCAAGGGCCATGTCCTTTTATACTAGTAGGGTTGAGTATGATGTTGCCCATGATGGTGCACTCGGCGTGCTCTAATTGGTATGTTGGAGAGAGAAACCAAAAAACTGTTGAAAGCTAGCCTCCCTAAATAATCAGTAGCATAATTTCTTTGCTTGTGGACATTGAGTAACACTACAAAAGCACCCAAACAGCGACCCAAAAGTGCTTCGGCCTTGAGCAATTAACTGCAGGAATATGAATGCATAGCAATTAACTGCAGGAATATGAATGCATGAAGTTTTTACTGCGGCAACTTTGAAAAGAGCAGCTTATCCGTTTGTTTATCTGAACAAATGCATGTCCATACGTGTAGCTATCAATGGTGGAGGATATATACAACAAAATCGGCCGCTCAATTATGAAATATTCAAAAAGGAATTGTGGCTCTTGATAACCTGCTTTGTAGATGATTTGTGGCCATTAATTCAGCTATCTACACTACAAGAAAAATGAGCTTTGGGTACAAAATAAAGGGCACAATTGAGAATTTTGTGTCAGTTTGACCACCAAAAAGCTTAAATAATTCCCATTCCATAGAGGGCACCATCTATTGTGCCCAATGTTAAAAAAAGTAGACACAAAACAGTAATGGGCACGGAAATCGTGTCAAGTGGGATCACATGACAACTTTTTTACTGAAAATGGGCACAAAAAATATTTTGTGTCTATAAAAATTATTTGTCAAAGGCACTATATGTTCTCTCTCGTTTGTCTTTACCTCCACTAGCACACCAATAATTAAAATTTATAAAATTGTGGTAAATAATGGTATGAAGCTGTTTATTACCGTGCAATATTTTAGCCTCAAAATAAGTTAGCAATAATGTTGTTCAAATTTGTTTTTCCCGAAAGCTGAACCTCAGATTTCTCACTTACAAGTAAAGAAGAATACCACTACACCATAGTACTAAGTGGCATATTTTAGATTTGCAAAGGATCATTTCCAGGTGCAATGAATGTTTGTTAGATTCGTATCTTTTTGAATTGCTTTTTGGATTGTTATCTTGTTTGTTTTTTATACTTGGTGATATGATTTTTGGTTTTAAAGTCCTACTTGCAGTGACACATAACCAACAATTGTGCCCTTAGGGTTGGTCAAAAGTTAGTTGGTCTTCAGATGGACAAATGAGTGAATAATTGTAGATTCCTTTTTATGACACTAATGATAGAAATTGTGTCCACTAAATATTAATAAATAATAAATCACTCTACTTCTCATTGGGTCTTCAAATAGAGAATATATTTTAATAATTATAAATTCCTCTTTTCTGACACAAATGTTAGAAATTGTGTCCAGTAAATATTAATAAATAATAAATACTCTATAGCAAAAGAATATTTTGGCACAATTATGGATTTGTGCCTTTATTCTACTATAAAACGTCCACACTCCCTTACTAATTTGTATATGGAAATTAAGAAGGTTGCTTCATACACATATGTTTCTTTTGAATTTGAGCAAGTTCTACATCATTGACAATGGCGGACAGGCGACGTCGTGGAGTTAGAATTGGAACTGAATCTCCAGCATCACATTCGTATATTGCTTCCAACATTACAACAGAAAATTCCACAACGAATCCTCCAGTTCAACGTCCACGACAACCTGTTAATGCCGGGCGTATGCCTCGTCCTGTTAATAATCAGTACATTCTTACTACTTTTGCTGATGGTCGCCTTGGCTACGCATTACCCTTCAATAACGGATGCGTACGCGCACCTCAAGGACGTGTATTGCCAGCATGGGCAAACCCAGGTAGGACAGAACAATATCCTGTCAATTTGGTTTCTGCTGAAACAACAACTGAACAGTCTACCAGTTCTGTCGTTATTATTGAAGAACCACGCACTTATCAAGCACAAATTCATCCTAGAGGTCTGTCTGTCCCACAGTTGAGCTCACGAAATATGCAGAATGTTACCGTTGAGATTTTAAGCAGCGATGACGAGGACAATTAATATATTTTGTATTATGTTATATTTCACTGGTGTACTATGAAAATATAACTATCTTATGCTATGCTGGACTCCTCTTGGGTCCTTTTATCAACTTATGTCGTATTCCAATATAATAATGTTTTCTTTCTAATTAGCCCTTCTAGATTTACTCCTACTATATATTTTTTTAGGTTATAATTATGTTTCTCGTCCGCTTCATACCGCAGAATTCAGTGACTTCACAGCGTGGCAACACAAAGGTTATGAGACATTACCAGTAAACTAAAAGATAGAAGAAATGAAAAAAGGAAATAAAAAAGGAAAAAAAAAAATGCTTGCTTTCATACTTCCCTAACACCCATTACCAGTAAACTAAAAGAAAAAAGAAACGAGAAACCAAAATAAAAAAGGGAAAGAAAAAAAAACTTGCTTTCATACTTCCCCAACGTAAGGCTTCATACTTCTGCTTCACCAAATCGCACACCTGGGCAAAGGAATCATAACTATAAACACAAAAATATCTTTATCCAAATCCTCGTTTTCCTCCAAATCGCACATCTGGTGTGCCTTTGTTCAGGTAATTTCTGAACGGCCGGTGCCGGAATCGCATTGAACTCCTCGTTTTCCTCCAAATCGCACATCTGGTGTGGTGTTCTTCAGGTTATTTCTGAACGGCCGGTGCCTAAATCGTACTCAAGTCCTCGTTTTCCTCCAATTTGCCCAGCTAGTGTGGCTTTCTTCAGGTATTTGATTTTTATATATGTTTTTTTTTTGTGTTCTTATTTGGTGTCGCTTGGATAATCGAAAACCATGCGAGACAGATTGAATCGTTTTCTGGTACTCAATTGTTTTTTGTGTTCTTAATTGTTTCTACGATTTGCTGGTACTTAATTGTTTGGTGGAATTTTCTGTGGGGTCTGATATATAATAGGAATAAAACAAGAAGTAATTGAAAAATATGGGAGAGAGATTGAACCGTTTTGTTTCTAAGATTTGGCTGGTACTCAATTTGTTTGGTGAAATTTTATTTATGGTCTTGAGGTAACGTCAGGGACAATGTTTAGGCCTTCGACCCTTCCCTTAGGCTGCTTATTGATTGGAAGTTCACAATAGAAACTGTTTTGAAGCTAACAGACTTGCATGTTAAGAGGGGTGTAATACATAAGTGTAAGTGATGAATGTCAGCTTATCATCCTTCCAATGTTGTGTAATGGAGCCAGCATGGAAAAAGTAAATTACTCACCAATATGTGCTCTTTTTTTTTACAGAACTGTGTAATTAGGAAATCTGAGATTGTAACAGAGAAACATGGAGTTTTTAGTTGCCTTTCCTACTAGATTTCTTTCGTAATTTATGTATACTCTGAATCAATTTGTTTGGTGCAATGAATACTTTGTAGTCTGATATATATATTATGAATAAAAGAACAAGTATAAGTCTTTGGCATCATATGTTTGTAGGATTTCAATAGCATGATCAATTAATTCCAAGCACTCCAGCTGTTCCTCTTTCTCTTCCTTTGCTGTAACCGACGAAAGCTTAGCACCAACTTATTCTCGGTCTTGGCCCTCTTCAGTTTACTCACTACTGTATGTCAATGGCTTCTTTCCTGGTCTTTGGGAGACAAAGGCATGACTAATATTTGTATTACCTGCACTGGAAAGAATAGGGTTGTCCTTCTCATTTTCTTATAAATAGTCACACGACTAATGGGAGGATAAGGGCAAAGCTCTTATGAATGCAATTCCTCTCTGTTTTATCATCTTGCATAAAATTCAAATGATAGAAATGCACTACATAATCCAGTTGCACATGTAACAACTCTCAATATGCCACCAAACAAATGATTTAATAATTAGAGCAAGAGATCAATGACAATCAAAACATTCTCCAAATTCACTTGACTAGCAATTATAGAATTTTAATACGATTTTTTCCATCTCATTAATCTAGCCACAAAACACAAAGAACATGCAATTCCTTTCATTTAAATCAAACATATCACAAGAAAACGTCGTTGTCGGGGTAAAATAGGTAGAATAATTTTTTGCTTATCATAGCAAACTTCAAATGGAGTTCATTCAAATGAAACAAAATTCTATTCAAAGTAGCCGTTAATGAATAAGGCACTTTAATGTAGACCACATCTGCTTTTAGTTGGTTTGTGATATTTGGGATATTAAGTTGGATCTTTATGAAAGTTTTGTTTCATTGTCTCAATTCACTAATCTTATTGTGTAATCAAATGTCTTATAATTTCATACATGCTTGTAGGTAAAGATGAACAAAGAATGGGTGCATCTGAATAGGACGACCAATGAATACTTGATTGGCAGGCGTGCATTCATCAGTAATGCTTTAGATGTTGCTGCCTTTCAAGGAAAAATTAAGTGCCCCTGTCGGCGCTGTTGCAATATGTTTTATCATGATCCATTTGAAGTCGATCAACACCTCTACGTCGAGGGTATGGATCCCCATTACATAGATATACCTTGGGTTGAACATGGCGAACAGGTGTATACGTCTGATAATATATCAAGTCCAACTACTGAAGCTCATAATGAAAGAAGCCCTGAAAATTTCATGGCAGCGATGCTTCACGATGTTTTCGGTAACCACGTGCATATGGATGAGTCAGATCATGTTGGTGAATCTTCTTTTGCTTGTGACGAAACAATTGATGTGCACCAATTTGACAACATTCTACGAGAAGCAGACGGAGAATTATATCCAGGTAGTAGGAAGAAAAAGTTGGATTTTGTGGTCAAATTATATCAGTCAAAATTGTTATATGGAATGAGTGATGCTGCATTTGGTTCAGTGCTGGCACTAATAAGAGAGCATTTTCCTATGTGCGAGACTCTTCCTCCAAATTTGTACTATACAAAGAAGATTATCCGGGCTTTGGGGTTGGATTACCAGAACATAGATGCGTGTCGAAATAATTGCATGCTATTCTGGAAAGAGCATGTAAATGACATCGTTTGTGCAAAGTGTGGCGCTAGTAGATATAAGCAAAGGAAGGCAAATTCAGGAACGCTCGAATGTACTAAGGTACCGAAAAAGGTTTTACGCTACTTTCCCATAGGTCCTAGACTACAAAGGTTGTACATGTCTCGTTACACAGCTGAGTCAATGATATGGCATTCAGAGATTAGAACTGACGATGGTGTTTTGAGGCACCCTGCCGATTCTCCGGCTTGGAAGCATTTGGATAATACATATCCAGATTTTGCAAGGGAGTGTCGCAATGTCCGTCTTGGGCTTGCAAGCGACGGATTCAATCCGTTTGGAATGCATGGCAAACCTCACAGCACATGGCCTGTTTTAGTTGTAGTTTATAATCTTCCACCTTGGATGTGCATGAAACAACCTTATATCATGATGTCTCTTCTAATTCCAGGGAAAAAAAGTCCTGGTGATGCAATTGATGTTTTCCTGCAGCCGCTCATTGATGACTTGCGGCATTTGTGGACGACAGGTTTGCAAACATATGATACTCACCGTCAAGAAACTTTCACCATGCGTGCTGCCTTGTTGTGGACTATCAATGACTTTCCTGCTTATGCCATGCTCTCAGGGTGGAGCACTAGTGGTGAGAAAGCTTGTCCGACTTGCGGTGATGACACTAATTCTTTATGGCTTAAGCATGGGAAAAAGTTTGCATTCATGGGACATAGGCGATGGCTCCCGATGTCACACAGGTACCGAAGACATAAAAAAACTTTTAATGGATCTCAAGAATTTCGAAACCCCCCTAAACCAAGAACTGCCATGGATTGTTTATTGGAAGTGACGGGATTGACCTTCAGATTTGGCAAGGGTGCAAAGGCAAGTGGTCGTAAGCGGGGGTGGAATGATGATGGACACGTTGTCGGTCAGTGGACAAAAAAGACTATATTCTTTGATTTGCCTTACTGGAAGGATCTTCTACTGCGGCATAACTTGGATGTCATGCATATAGAGAGAAATGTAGCTGAAAATGTTATTGGCACTCTTTTGGAAATTGAAGGGAAGAATAAAGATGGTATTAGGGCAAGGGCTGATCTCGTAGAGTTGGGCATTAGGCATGATCTCCATCCACGGGCAGATGGTGCCCGTACAAAGCTGCCAGCGGCAGAATACAATATGAAACCTGAGGAGAAAAGAATGTTGTGCCAGGTTTTGGAATCAATTCGGGTGCCAGACAACTACTCTTCTAATATTAGCAACTATGTTAATATTCAAGAAAAGAAGTTAATTGGCTTGAAAAGCCACGATTATCATATGCTCCTACAGGTATTCCTCCCTATTGCAATACGAAAAGTGTTACCGAAATCGGTTGTTACAGTGTTGTTAGAGTTGAGCAGATTTTTTCGCCACATTTGTTCAAAAACTGGAACTGAAGAATTATTCAATGGCTTGTCAAAAAGCATTGCCTTAACTCTATGCCATCTGGAGAAGTTATTTCCGCCATCATTCTTTACCATTATGGTACACTTGATAATTCACCTTGCGGATGAAGCTGCTGTTGCTGGTCCAGTCCCATACCGATGGATGTACCCCATTGAAAGGTGTCAGTTTCGTAAAACAGCTACTCAGTTTAGTTTCTAAATTTAGTATTTGTTTTTCATCATTACCTTTTGCTTAAAGATTTTTTTTTTAACAATCAGGTATCTACATCTTCTAAAATCGTATGTGCGCAACAAGAGTCAGCCAGAAGGATGTATTGCAGTGGCTGTTAATTTAGATGAGTGTGTATCATTCTGCTCCATGTACATGGATGACTCTATTGTTACCCGTCGCAATAGGCATGGACGTAACTATGATGTTCAGCAATGTGATGCACGACAAGGGCTTCCGTTATTTAGTAGCCAAGGCAAACCAGCAAGCGCTGTTGACACTGTTTTGCTAGAACGTCCGAGGTTTGAAATGGCTCATCGATATGTCCTAGTAAATTGTCCTCAAATGGCAGAATACTTAAGGTACAGTTATAACAATGACATTACCTTAGTATATGTTTGATGGACTAGCTTGGATCCTGAATTGATTTATGTGTTGGTCTTGTAGGAGACATATGTCACATGTAATTTCTACTCGTGGCAGAAGAACTACTATATATGATGCAGAAAGAGAAGCTTTAGATAGTTTCCCTCAATGGTGTCGGGATAATGTACCTTATATATATTCCTATTAAGTTTCAGTATTAAATGTAGCATTCATAATGGTGTAATTTTGTAACTGTGTTTTAATTCAATGTAGGTACATATCATAGGGGCAAATGATGAGGGAGTTATTAAAGACGATATATGTGCATTGGCTGCTGGACCGATGCAGTGGGTAAATCGTTATACCGCATACATCATGAATGGAAATCGATTTAAGGTTGCTTCTGCTGATCGACATGCACAAACCCAAAACAGTGGTGTTTTTTTAGCATCTGAAGTTAGTAGTTTTGCTACTACGGTTGACAGGAATCCAAGGTATGGAGATGTGGATTATTATGGTGTTGTGACAGATATCATTGAGTTAGATTATCACAATGGTCGGAAGGTTATACTGTTTGATTGTGATTGGTTTGATGTCAAGAGCAAAAGGTTTCGTACTAAGAAGGATGAGTTTGGGTTCACTTTGGTTAATTGTGAACATCATTTACCATCGGATGACTCATTCATACTGGGGTCACAAGCAACGCAAGTGTTTTATGTTCAAGATCCTATTGACACTGAGTGGTTTGTTGCTACAAAGACAAAGCCACGAGACGTTTACAACATGCTCGATACAGATGTAGAAGACCCCAACACAGCTCAAGATATAGAAAACACATTAGGGGATGATGATATAGTGCAAACAAGGCTAGATGTTGCAGAAATTGTTATTGCAGAACGATTATCAGACTTGTAATGATCAAGAACTTATATCTACTATGTAGCTTGTTCATGTATGAAAGATTAAATAGTGCAGGGAAATAACATGAAGACCACGCACAAGTTTTTGGTAGAATTTTTTGGATGATCTTCATTCATCTCGGTGTATTGTATTTATATAGTTTTACAGAGGGTTTACAAGCTTTCACAATTTGCATAAGGACAAATTCTACAAATCAATATTTACATAAAATTAGGGAGCTTAATAAGGCAAATGAATATGATCACGAAATCATCTATTGCACAAATGATGCATGATGAGCATGATTGTCTCCATCTTGTCTATCAATGTATCCAATCATCTATTGGACATGAATTGGCTCATATTATGAGTTGGCAAGCTACTTTCGGTTGAGCATGATTGTCTCCATCTTGTCTATCAATGTATCCAATCATCTATTGGACATGAATTGACTCATATTATGAGTTGGCAAGCTAAGAAATGGACAAAGAAAAAGGGGGACATCATTATGATGTCTAGCCCTTGATTTGTGGCTTTTACAAAGGCAAAGATTTGGCATGAGCCGAAAGAGATAAGAGGAGGGAGAGAAGGCGGTAAGGCATTTGGTTATGCCTTTGTGATGAGTAAAGAGAGCATCCAATGGGGGACATCATTATGATGTCTAGCCCTTGATTTGTGCCTTTTACAAAGGCAAAGTGTGATGAGCCGAAAGAGAGAAGAGGAGGGAGAGAAGGCGGGGCCTTTGTGATGAGTAAAGAGAGCATCCAACGGGGAGAGCATTCGGCTCTCCCATGGAAGGTTGAACATGGGTTGAGAGAAAACAAATGATACATATGCAATTAATCTCTAATATAGGTTGAGTGTTATAATATATATATATATATATATATATATAAACAAAAAAAAAAAAAAAAACCCTATGGTATAGGTAGATAAACACAATTAAGCTTCAATACAACTTCAAAAAAAAAAAAAAATAACAATGGAAAGCAGAAAGAAACCCAAAAAATAAAAAATAAAAAAGAGGAAGAACCCAAAACACAAGATTGAGTAATGCAAAATAACACATCAAGATAAAGATATTGACAGGGAGAAACAAGATAAGAGAACTGAAACAAGAAAAGAGAAATGAACGGTTTGGGTAACGAGAAGAAAAACGGAGATTTAAATCCCTAATCCTATAATTCAGGATAAGATTAACATTAATCACAAATGAAAAAATAAACAGCAATTACTTAATTAATCAATTTAAGGGTAAATTTGGCAATCTAATACAAATAAGCTTATGTGGATAATTAATTACTGGACCTCATCCGAAAAATAAAACAAATTAAGTTGGACTATAACTAATAATGACTTATAAAATTGAACTTATATTAAGTTTCCCCTTCTCCAAATTGGATTCTCCCTCTATTTTTTAAAATTGGACTTCTCCCTCTATTATATTAAGTTCCCACCACCAAATTCAAAAACTTGGTTTGCCAAAATCTGATTTAAACCCACCGCATCCCAAAATTGTGCCCACTCACTTTTAAAATATTAATTAAAAAAATAGTAGCTATATTAAAGGGTTAGAAACTGGAAAGCTTCCATTCCACCATTTCTCATTCCGTCTCACCTTTACTCTCCCAAAATTAAAAGGACGCTCATTCCAGCTCCTCCGTCCAGTTCCAACCCATTCATCCGTGGAGTCTATCCACCTCAAGCCTACTCCTCTGTCCAGTTCAAAGGCACTCCTCTGCCCTCTGGTGACACACACCGACACACAAGAGGGCCAAGATACATGTAAGGTTTCTGAATTTCAATTTTTCAATGGGTTTCTATTCTTTAAGGTTTAAGGTCAAGTAGGCTGTTTATTTTGTTGAATATGGTTTATGGTTTGAGGACAGTGGGTTTCAGAGGACAGTGGGTTTGGGATTAAGAATCTAGGATGGGTGCAGATTTTTGGGATTGCAGGTCTCATTGAAATTATGAGGGATTTCCCTACCAGTACCATCCCAGTTGTCTTTCAGATAAGTATCCCTCATAGGGAACATATAGAATAGAGTGTGCGAGTACATCCATCATCCCTGGATCGATCATACTCCTATTACTACGTGGCCCTGTTTTTGTTTTTGTTTTTTTTTTTAATTTTCACCATCCATAACGTCGGCAAGTTAAATAACTAATTACTAAGGGATAGAGAAATCGATAGGGTCAAACCTCCACCATGGTGCATAAGCATGATTGCTTTACACCACTACAATAAAACTGGATCTGCTCTACGTGACTATTAAGTGTTCAGATTCCACGGTACTCATATGCATGCCTCTTTTGGTATTTGATGTTGTGGTTCATTAAATGAATGCACAATATAAACTATAACTCTTCTAAGACACTACACATTGTGATCCAGCCGTCAATCTTAGGTCTTTCTTTGATGATCACCTTGACAAAGATCACTCAACTCAAAAGTCACATGATGGTTACAGTACATGGTGGCATCATATAGTGTGTTCATCTTTTTTCTTCTATCAATAATTGTATGTCTTAATGAAAAGATTTTCACTTTTATTTAAGGATAATTTATGCATGATGATAAAATGTAGATAATTTGAATCATTATAGAACTTGTTAATGTTACCTGTATGTTCATTGGTGTAAAAAAATAGTTCTTGTTGGTGTAAATGAATAGTTCGTGTTGATTACACTTCATTTGCAATTTGCAATGTAGATGGCTAATATGATGCTTGATGATGATGCATTTTTGGCATCTATGGGAACTCAACCACACTTCCAATTTGGTGTAGTCACCGAAAATGAATCATTTGCAACCAACCAACCCCATGAGACATGTAGTCGACATACGCAATCAAGTGGCTCTACTTCTTTGTCACCCACAACTCGAAAGAGGAATAGGGGAGTTAACAAAATACGGTGGGGCAGAGGGAGGTGCGAAAAACTGAACTTTAACAGATTTGGTCAACCTATTTCTCCTCGTGACAATGTGGCCAAATTTGGGCGCTACATAGCCATGTTGGCTCGTGATGGTGGAATAATCCCAATTGATTCACCTGATTGGCGCCAAATAGAATCTTCGAAACTTGATCGAGTGTGGTCATTGGTCCAGGTATTGATGCTAATTTCTAAAATTTGACTTGTTGGATGCTTACAATCTTATGTCACAACTTCATTATTGTTTATGTAGGCCACTATAGACTGGACAAATCCAAAAGCTGCTGGCAAGGAGGACAAAGTAAGGGCTATTGTGGAAACGAAATTGCATGATCGTTTCAGGACATGGAGGGCAAAACTCCGTAAGTTGTATTATGTTCCCTTTGAGAACTCCGAGCAGAGGAAGCATTGCAATGATTCTAGGGTAATCCAGAGACAATGGCAATCCTTGGTAGCTTATTGGGATAAAATTGAAAATAAGGTTTGTAAAACTTTCAACACTATAGTTACTATACTTCATTAAACTGTTGTTGAAACGAAATATAAGGTTCGATAAAATGAGTATTTTCCTTTGTGGTGTTCTTTATTTGTTGTGATCCAGCGGAGATGTGCAACGAATGTGAAGAATCGAAAGATGTTAAAGACGAGTCACACAACTGGGACAACAACTTTTGCTCAAATACGGAATGATTATGTGAGTGGATTCTTGTACTATATATTATAATTTTAGTTCAAATGTCTCAAAAACTACATCTCACATTTAATTTTAGTTCAAATCAGTATACATTTGACATAAACTAAAGTATTTTTTTTCTTCCAATTTTTCAGGAACAGCGGTTTATTACCCTTATTGATGTTTGTGTTTATATATAGTGCACTATAGTTTTTGTCATTGTAACTGTGATTGTTTAATGATTGTGGTTGTTTTTGGGATTTTTTTTGTGTCTTAGGCTGAAGAACATGATGGAAATGAACCTGATCGTGTGACTTTTTTCAAAATGACACACACAAGAGGACCTAAGCAACTCCCAGTTGATGATGAATCTGCTAGAATGATGGTAATTTGTACATTTTCACTTCACCAAATTTATTTCCAGCAACCTTTAATGAAATTTTATGCATTTACGAATGATTAAGGCTTTTTCAAACAGTTAGCGTTTGAAAATCTGGAAGTGGAGGTTCGTGAACGTGGTGATGAGGTAACAACAGAGGTTCGTAATAAGATTTATGCAGAAGTGTTGGGCCCAGAGAAGCGAAATCAAGTGCGAGGCTTTGGCCTTGGAGTTGGTTGGGCAGATGTACCAGGAATTGTTACTGAACAGCGAGGTATTTCTAGGGAAGTGAAGTATCTTCGGGAAGCTTATGAAGCTCAGAAAGAAGCCACTGCTGCTGCGGAAGAAAAAATGACTCGTATGATGCATGAGGCAAATGAGAAAGCGGAAAAGATGAAAAGAGAGCAAGAAGAAAGCATACAAAGGCTTAGGGCCGAACAAGAGGAGAATTTGAGGTTAGCAAAGGTGCAAATGGCTGAGCAATTGAAAGCCATGTTGGCACATGTAGGCATCAACATTGGTTCATTTGGAGTGAGTGCTCTACAAAGTACTTCAACTCAGCAGCAAGGGTGTGGAAGCTCACATGCTCAGATTTCAACGGGTTTCGAAGGTGGAAATGACAAGAATGTGCAGTGTGGACCTCCAATTTCTAGTGCTATGATGCATGAGGACTGCCAAAGTCAGAATACTGGTTAGTTGTCATCAAGCAGCCCTTGTAGATGTGTATTTTGTTTATATATTGCTGGTTTAACCATTAGTACGTTTGACTTGGGGATACAAGCTTGGATATGTTATATTTTGTTGTATATAGAGAATCCCGGGCATGTCTAGCATAGGATAACATGTATTTTTTGGTTTAACATTTGGATGGGTTGTATTGTTAGGTTGCATGAATCGGTCTTAACCGAGAACATAGGTTATGTAATATATTAACTTAACTATTTTAGTGCTAATGTTGATTTATGTTTAGTTTGTAATGGATGATTTGTAACTTTCTAAATTTAGGTGGAAATTAGATTCTATGAGCAACCTGATGATTGCCATGTTTAAATAAAAATATCCAATTATGCCACAAATTTTTTTTTTTTTTTTATTGAAACCCGCCACAAATTTTTAATTGTGCTGGAGTTTTATTGTATTTATTAAAATATAATAGTGGCACAATTTTTAAGTTGTGCCCTTGCTTTAACAATCTAAGCCTTTAAAAATAGCAATTGTGCCCATCTTACACCATACATTCAGTAGCCTTTATTAGAGGTAGGACACAATAAGGGTTGTATTTGTGCTTAGCTTTGGGCACAAAACATCATATTGTGTGTTATAAGTAATGGTGACGCCCATAGAGGGCACAGATACAAACTTAGTTGCTGCACTGTTGCTATTGGTCTATGAGCACAAATGTTGGTGCTTTTTGGCCTCAAAAGGCACATATAATTTTTGGTGTGCAGTGCTCATTTTTTTTGTAGTGCTACAAACTACAAGGGGACCGTTTTACAACCTAATTAATTTCCCAACGAGTTGAAAAATTAGAAGAAAGAAAGACAAATTGAAGGAATAACTGCGTTGCATAACATTTAATTATGTTTAAACGAATTTAATTAACATAAAAAAGCCGATTGGCACATTGCATTATGAAGTAAATTATTCACGTGATTAAATCAATCTCGGTGGAAATTTTTGAATAGCAACCAAATTGCTATCATGTGTCTTGCAGCCTATTTTGTTTCTTCAAAACTTAGGGTTTTAACCACTTAATGAGTTTGGTTACACTACCCTAAGGTCCTCGATCGAGTGGGATTCAAGCCTTTCACAATAATCTCGAGTGCTCGAGTGAATCATTTTTCTAATTCTCGAAAACAGAGGTTAAAATTTTGTGATGTGTGTAAAGAAGGTTTGAGTTTGTAATTAGAAATAGTAAAATAATAAGAGTCCAAGAAAATTCTAATGGTAAAACAATAAAAAAAAAAATTGTATCTTATTTATGAATTACATTGTTGAACAATCTTCTTAAATAGTAAGATTTATATACATAATGGTATATGGGAGATATAATAAGTAATATAATCAGTAAATATAATACATTACTCGTCCAAATAAAAATAAAACACGGATCTCATTTATTCATGAATTTCTCAACCAACACCATCTTGAATCCGATAAAACACCAAATTCGAAAACAAACGAGAGTGCCTCGAAAAAGGATAGAGAATTAAAGAAACAAATAGGCAAAGGTCTTGAAAGCCCTAATCAAATACAAACTTAAACAGACCACCGGGACCCTTGGCTAAGAGCCACAATGGTACATACAACAACAACAATAATTATGAAAATTGTAGAACAACTTAGAAGCCTGGAGGCTTGTAAGCGATGAAACTGATGCACTGCACTTGACGGACATTGTCGAATCCGATGATACGGATGAAGGAGTTGGGGTAGGCCTTCTTGGCCTCTTCCAGCTCCTTCAACACCTGGGAAGAGTCGGTGCATCCGAACAGGGGCAGCTTCCACATTGTCCAGTACCTTCCATCATAGTATCCTGGGGACCTGTTGTTCTCACGGTACACGAATCCAGTCTATATATTTAACACAATTTTTTACAAGAGAATTAAGTTAGTAAACAATTAAGTGCGTTACCACGTCAAATCATTAATTTAACAAACTACAGTATATAAGGTTAGAAATTATTAACCTCCAACTCAAATTCCAAGCAGGGAACCCAGTTCTTGCGGAGGAGGTAGTCAACTTCCTTGGCCAAGGACTCGGAAGAAAGGGGAGGAAGGTAAGAGAGGGTCTCGAACTTCTTCAGTCCGAGTGGAGGCCACACCTGTAATCATCAAAATATTTGATAAACTGAATTTGTACTTCGGTAAGTACCTTTTGTTTTGCCAAAAAACAAGACAAGATACTAGTATTATTTCGGCCAAATTATACAAAATAATACATATAAGTACCTTAGAAATAAAAAATAATTTGCAAAGAATCTGACCCGAAAGTATATATACATATATATTTGCAAACATATTTATTTGTTTGATATGTTAAATTATCAAACTCCTAATAATAATTTACTTACAGGTTGATAGATGATGTAGTAACTTTGTACTAACTAATTTTTTAGGAGCGAAAGCGAAACAATAGAACTTTGTACTAATTAATTATGAAATGTATTTGATTAGTAGTTTTTCAATTTAATTAAATGTATTAACATATTTTTAAGGGATTAGTAATTTATTAGTATCGATTAATTCTTACCTGCATGCATTGCACTCTTCCTCCATTGCTTGCAATAGAGGTAATGTCATTGCTTTTTCTGGTGACAGGGAAAGCTGAGGAGGACTTGAGGCCGGTGAATGGAGCAACCATTCTGGCTTGAGAGGGGGCTGGGCGGTCGGCGGAAACTGTAGCCACGGTACCGGAGGAAATCATTGAGGAAGCCATTGCTCTCTCTCTCTGCTTTCTCTTCTTTGCTTGAGTGCTTTACTTCTTTTGGTTGAGATACGCAGCTCCTATTCTGCCTATATATAGTGCTCTGGCTACCCATGTCCTATCCTACGGTCCTGATCCCATGAACATTTTACCAGCAAACACGGGCCGTTGGATGATGTACCTGATGACATTACAGCATAGAGACCACATGATGCAGAGGAACAATTTGAAAGCTAGCCTTATCACTAGGCACCACTATGACCTTGCCACGTGGAATGAGCTCCATTATCTTATCTAATCCAAGGGAGAAGGTGAATGTGTGATGGTGGTTGGCCTCTTGCTATGGTCAGTCTCTTCCCTGCTGTCGTTTTCGCACCATGCACCCTCATCCTAGTATATTGGCTTTATTTCTGCACCCCTTTCTTCCTTTCGAAATATTTACATGCAGACGTAGGTAAATTTTCACTTGTTACAGCAGAGCAGACGGCCTTTCGCTCAAGTGTTTCTTCAGCAATGGAACAAACAAGTTGTGTATTTTAGGTCGTATTAGAACCACGGTGGTTTAGGCTAGCTAAGGTCTTTGAACATAACCTCATGATTTCTAATAATGGTTACGCTAAGGTTTATTAGGGTGTAAATGAAGAAATTGATTATGTATGTAATTCTTTACTTTGGAAGGTGATTATGTAAAGTTTGTCAAGATTTAGAAGGTCAAGTCAACGGTTCATTATTAATTATATTGATATTGTCTCAATTTAACCACTTGCATAACTTAACAGATTTTGAATTTTATCATAAAATGTCTCAAGTGAAACCACATTTAGTACCATTTATCCAATGTGAGATTTTTCAACACTCCCCATCACGTGTGCAACCAATTCTACTTTGAGAACCTCCTCTTTTTTTTTTTTTTTTTTTTTTCTCAAGTAGCAAAAGATTGTTCGCCAGCTTAGGATCTTCTTCACATTTGAAGGGGAACCCGCTTTGATACCATGTCAACATTTCAGAGTCAAGCCAACTATCGACTACCACACTAACTATCTCAACATAACCACCTGATCGCCCAACAAGTGTTGAATTTTATCACATAATGTCTCTTTGCAATAAGGAGCATAACCATTAAAATTTATCCTATTAAGTTTCCGATGTGGAATGGCATTCTTCAACAAAGTTGTGGTCTTAAATTGTTGTATTTTGTTGTTTTTTTTAGACAAAAATGATTTATCACCGTCGTTATTGTGGGAAACAAATTTCCCACAAACGTAAAATTACTCCGATGTCTCTGTAACCAAGATATGAACGACAGTTAAGACCTTGTCACACAGGTGTGGTATGAACTAAAGGCAATCTGATTGCTAAGTTAGACTAAACAGGGGAAGATGAATCACAAGCTATGAGTTTCTTTGCTAAAGAATAGTTGCATTTTCATGGGAATGAACATGTCTTTATATAGTGGCAGACATAAGCTTGTTGATGATTCATTAGGGTACATGCGGTGTTCCCTAAGTAGTTGGTTTGAACTCGGTGTTGTTTTGCCCATTTAGGGAACAATTGATTAAAGAGATACGTGATGAGAGAAACCAATCAAGAAGTTAAGGGAAGGCCCTTAACACTTCCGAATTCATGCCCATTTAGTGAACAATTGATTAAAAAGACACGCGACGAAAAAAACCAGTTAAGAAGTTTAGGGAAGGCTCTTAACACCATCCGAATTCATGGTCTATGTCCGGGTGACGATTATAGGGATCGCTATCTGTCACTGATCCAGCTGGTCTTCCTCTATTAGGCCATGCTGGGCCAATCTCACTTGCGAGCCCTTCTAGACTCGTGGATACCTCTTGGCCTTTTACTAAGCTCGCTGAGGCCACCAACTCTGACATGGTCCAACACCTTGGTTTATAGGACTCCATCATGTGAGCGAACTGCGAGGCTACAATGAGGATGTGGTTGGAAAACGTTTCCTTCGACGTTTTCAAGATCTCTGAAAAATTAAAGGAAGATGTAAGTTTTTGGATTTAGATGCCGTTAATACAGTGTCGATTGAAAAACACTAATTTGTAGATGTAAATTTTCGTCTTCTTCTTTTTGGACGAAAATGCACTTGCAAAATAATTAACACCTTAGGTCAAGGCTAAGAGCCTCACACGCCCACGATGAATGGGACGGGCCTTTGGCTGAAGAACCTCCAAAGCCAAAGTTAAAATTTGAGGGAAAAGTGTTTAAGAGAAATTTGGAGAATTTAGCAAGAGAGTTGGGATTAGGTTTTTGGA